AAAACAAAAAAAATGCAACGTAGCTGATGAGCAGCTAACTTGAAACCGGCGCCTGCTGTAGAGCGTTTTTTAGCAAGTCCGTTGCAAAAGGCAATTTACAAGTGTAATAAATTCGATATTCAGTGCGCACATCAAATTTAAGACATCGTTTTTGTATTGTAACTGTTGTTATTATCATTCCCTTCGCCGGAAAAAAAATGTGTTTCTGCTAAGAAATTTGGTTTCCTGAATCGTGCTAGACAATTTTTTTATCTCCAGAATCTTACATTTACTAAGTCTATCTTTCATCCATGCTTTAAATATTGCTACCACATATAGTCTGGTGATCCTGCTATACATTTAGAGATTCTTGATAAAATCCAAAGAATCAGCAATATTATTAGTCCTGACCTGGCATCTCGGCTTCAGTCCCTTTCCGACTACCTTAAATGTAGCGTCTCTTTGTCTTTTATATTTATACAAAAGGCGCAGGGACATTCGTGCTAATTCGGATGAACTCGCCGTTATGGTACCTAGACTTCATGAATTTAAGCGCAGATCTTAAATTGTCGAGATGTAAGTATAATTTCTATGTTAACAATTGATTTTGTTGTACTTTTCGCTTAGAGGACTCTCTTCCCCTTCCATGTTTTCCAGCCAACTTTTTTCTTCAAAAAATGTAAATACAATGTCAATCGTTATCTACTATCTTCTTGATCACTCTTCTATTGTTCTTTTTCCTTAACCCCAGTTCTTTTTCGGAAAAATGTTTCATTTTAAGACGATTTTTTAAAAATTTGTTTTTAAAATAGTAACTAAGAAACTGAGGTACTGTGAAGTACCCGAACGGTGGCTAACACCTTTTCCCAGGCGTGTGAGTTGACAATTGGACTTGTTTCAAGCTCAAAAGGGCATAAAAAGAGTCAAGATCATCGAATAATCACGTCTGTAGCTGGTTTTTGAATGTTATGTTTAGGACGTGTTTATTCGTTCGTGCCTGAAAAAAGATATACACGTCTACGGCGGGGAAAGAGTTAATAATGTTTCTTTTTTTTCTTATACTTCCACATTCAATAACTTCTTGTTTATTAGTAGCTTGCATGGGATGAAATGATTAAAAATTATGGGGACGAGTTTGGAAAGGACATTTGCGGCATTATAATGACTTCACAGAGAATGGAAAGTAAGAATGTGATGTTTTGGTGAAGGGAATATTATCGAATCCTTGGGTCAGTGACTGAGATTTCTTTTGTGCCGTGTCTCTTCAGGATATAGGCAATCATGTTTCTCCACAACTTCCGATCTCTTGTGTCTTTTAGCAGTTTTTCTCTTTTTGCTATAGGCCTCGCCTCACCCCGTTCCGCCATCCACACAAGCTCGTCAGGTAAGTGACCCGCTGTCTTACCCTATCTTTATTGCCCTCACTATGCCCACTAAGGGTTAGATTATCCAAGCCCTCTTTTTTCATTATCTGTCCAAGGAATTTCAGCTGTCCTTTTCTGATTCAAGGTATAATTGTTCTGCTGCCATTTTAAGTCTAGCTAAGTTAAAAGATGATCAACACTTTATCCTACACCACATTTGGTATTGTGCCTTATTTGATATATATATATATATATATATATATATATATATAAAGAAATATAGTTTTAAGGTATGCTATATTTATGGGATAATGTGCTTAATATCAGATATAGAGTCTATGTAAATATAGATATAAAAGTGAACATTGAAGTCAACACTCAAAAGGCGACAAGCTGTTTCATTGCGTCCAGCATTAAACAGCCTGTCGCCTCTTAGTGTTGACTTCAATGTTCATTTATATATATATATATATATATATATATATATATATATATATATATATATATATATATATATATATTGTTAAGAGGCACGGTGGAGTAATGGATGAGCCGAGTTCGAATTCCAGTCGAATCCATTATATACCCTTGAGAAAGGTTTGAATCCTCTTCTTCTTCCTCAGCTATGGGTAAATAGCAGTACAGAACGGATTCTATAGCCTTGGGTGGCAACTGGTCTAACGCAGAAAGAAATAGCAACTTACTGAAGGAAAAAAATCTGCTTCGTCAGTCATGTATCGAATGATACATGACTGCTTAAATAATATCACGCATGACACATAACTGAATATATATTGTTATATGCCGTACCTATGAGCACTAATGGCTATGTCCCTCCTTATAAATACGTTGGACATTATTGTAAGTGCGGGTAATATGGTGTCTACGTAGTCCACCACTAGCAGTTGTTTACTTACTTCACGCCGTTGGCGAGTATTTTATTTTGTTGATGTTATAAAGATTACTATTTCATTTCCAACCTCCATTTTGGTTATTTCACATTCAGTAACCTTTTCTAGGTTACAACATATATATATATATATATATATATATATATATATATATATATATATATATATATATATATATATAAATGACAATAGGAAAACTGTTGTTATTGCTGACGCGTTTCGTCCAGTGTGGACTTTCTCAAAGCAAAAAACGAAACGAATTTAATTAAAGAAAGTAACTAATAATAACAAAAAACAGAATTTTCTTAGCAACTGGAGGAATGTAGAGAACGCTATTTTCATATTGTTAAGTGAAAATAACTTCAATACCGTAAAATCAAAAGAAAATGGTTGAATCCGCCAAGACAGTTATAATGACACTATTCTCTACACGTGACAATAATTGGCGTTATTTTCAGTTAATAATATGAAAATAGCGTTCTCTACATTCCTCCAGTTGCTAAGAACATTCTGTTTGTTGTTGTTATTAGTTACTCTCTTTAATTAAATTCATTTCGTTTTTTGCTTTGAGAAAGTCCACATTGGACGAAACGCGTCAGCAATAACTACAGTTTTCCTATTGTCATTTATATTTATAAATATTGTCTTTTCTACAGGTTAACTCTGAGAAATTTTCAATATATATATATATATATATATATATATATATATATATATATATATATATATATATATATATATATGTCTGATCAATGAATATAATTTGTTCTAGTCTAAAAATTAGTAGTTTGTTTGCTTTAAGGAGTTACGTACTTCTGAACAATGGCAGTTGTCGGATGCTGATTTTTAAGTTTGGTTTGAAAAATGAGAAGATGGACATAGTACAGTGTTCTAACATATCCGTTTTGTTTGCTCTTTTACAATACTAAATATGGAGAAGCAAATATCCATAGCAAAGTTTAAAAGTTATTACAAGCTGATGCTCAATGTCAATCAGATTTCGAATTTAATTCCGTATCTTTATAAGCAAGATCGAAAAAAAAATGATCGGCTATTGATTTCTAGTAAGGAGAAAACTATTCATGTGATTTGAAGCCAGCCAAACATTTCTAAAATGTACGTGTTTTCATTCCACCTACACTTACTGTTATAACCTAGAAAAGGTCACTGAATGAGGAATAACCAAAACGGAGGTTGCAAATGAAATGGTAATCTTTATAACATCAACAAAATATAATACCCGCCTGCTAGTGGTGGACTACTTAGACATCATATTCCGATATTTACCTGCCTCTCCACGAGGTAGGATGCAGCTCAAGGCCAAATTTAATGCGGGGAAATCCGATCCCGTGGGTTCGGGCAAAAATTGCCCGTAGACCCCGCATACACGGGATCGAGTAACTGTCTACCTCCCCGGACGAAACTCTGCCGAAGGGCAGAGTCTCGTGTGGGTTCCTCTCTATCCGAAGGCAGAGTTCGACACGGCAAGAGCTTCCCACGCTGAGAGCTCACGTTGCCACCCCACTTACAACAGTGTCCAACGTATTTATGAGGATTGGGACATACCTATTAGTGTTCATACGTACGGTATATAACACTCATCAAAGAGATTCCGCAATTATATAGATATTGATTCGTTTTTTACGGCTTACCAACCTTTTGTGGGTTATTCAAAGCCAGAAAATAGTTTTATATTGTAAGAAGTTCCTGAACATATTACAGCAATTTATTACTGTTTGCACAAACCTGCTAGAAAGTACATTTTCTTTCTTAAGTTTTTTTAATGTTTGTGGCCTTGTGTCATACTTGAAACTTGATAAATATCACTAACTTCATAACTTATTCCTTTTGAAACAAAATAAGAATCAATACCAAATGATTAATGTGCAGGCCAGTAGATGTGATACACATAATTTAAAAAAAATGGGATAACTACTCAAATATGGGTATCCACTAAAAAATAATTTTGAACTAATGAAATATATATATATATATATATATATATATATATATATATATATATATATATATCATTAATGATTATTTTTTGTTAAAGTTAAAATCTTTAACTGACAATTATCTGTCATAATTTACCAACAATTCCCACGAGGAATGAATTAAGCAAACAGCGGTCATAACACTTCTTATTTTGCAGATATATGGTTCCTGAACATATTACAACAATTTATTACTGTCTGCACAAGTGCTACATCTTGCTAAAACAATACATTGCATAGTTTCAGAGCTTTCCTTTCTCTCAATAGGTTTATCACTAACAAGACTTATTAAGCAGCACCAGAGATTAAACTCTTGACCTTACTAGCTGTGCATTATCATAAAATCCTTGCAACCATGTCAAATAAAGGAATACAAGTTACAACAAGTTAGGTTATTTGGCATTTATTTAACCATATTGTGAGAAATTATAGCATTTTTTCTTAGATCTTTACTATAATTGTGAGTCTTGAAATCAATTGTCAATACCAGGGAAATAACTCAGAAAAGTTACAGACAAACCCAAAAAACATTTAGCATGTAATATATAAAGTCAAGTGAAGAGGTCAAAATACTCACAAATTAAACCACTTATATCCAGCAGAATCAACAAATCAAACGACATTTTTAAATATATGTATCCATTAATAATAATTAAATTTGTCCCTTAAGAGTAAAATTATATAAAAAAAAAGCATTTCCCAATTCCGAGCCGTTATCTATTACATCATCCACACATTCAAGCTTGCAGCAAATGGTCACCCATCTAGGTACTAACCAGGCTCGAGGTTGCTTAACTTCGGTGATCGCGCGAGAATCGGTGTTTGAATGCGATAGGGACGTAAGCCTTTATAGGGGCAAGATGACAAGTCTGGGCGCCTCGTGGTGAAGTGGTCATTAACAAAACAAGCACACAGATAATTACATTGTCAACGATTTGGATTCTCACTGGGTGCTTCACACTATGAAACCTAAAAAAAAAAAGGAAAAAAAAAAGCCAAACCAAAAACAACCCCCACCTCGCACAAAACAATTACTCACCCACCTCCTTCAAGAAAATTCTGTCGTACTTTGCGTTCGAATATGGGTATTTAAATATATAAAAATGATTTATTTGAAAGAGACATTTTTAGAACTATTATATTATTAAAACATTTTTAGAACTTATATGTTTTTAAAACTGCGGATTTTCATATTATTACTTAAAGGAAATCGATTTGATATAGTTTCTTCTCTGTAAAGTATATATATATATATATATATATATATATATATATATATATATATAATGAATGGTGGTTTAACATAGTTTTGGTGAAGTTAATCGATTTCTCTCATGTTTATCGACGGGAATATTACATTCGATACAAAATACTTTAATCTTAAATTCCCGAGAAAAACACAGGAAAATGAGGGAAACAAATTCTAGTAAATATATTTCTTTCTTTTGAGTCTCAAAATAAAGAATTCGGATTATTTTAGTTCGTTATTTTATTGTAACGTTTCTGTTATATATGGGGAATATTCCAAAGCTCATGAATTTGAATCTGATTCCTTTTATAGTAAATTCCATTCATTTATATAACTGCCTTATTGTAATCATTTTTTTATTCCCTCACACGTTATTTTTAGTGGATGCCCATATTTGAAATAGATGTCCTGTATTTATTTGAAGCTGTGTATTACATTTATCGGTCTCTTCATTCGAGAAATCATGATAAAAATATGGGCTATTTACTTTTATTAAATAGCTGCTCTCTCTCTCTCTCTATATATATATATATATATACTCGACTCTCCCGTCGAATTCGACGTATGAGGGTCAAGCAGATCAGTTCCCAGGAAACGGCACATGAGAATTAGAAGGTTTCGTGCAGGATCATCCACACTTTTGACGGGCCGAATACAGAGACCTGGTGCACTAAGTGCCACAGGTCCCTAGAGTTGTCCTTGTAGAAGGGTTGCCATCCAAGGCTATAGAATGATTGCTGTTATTTACCCATAGCTGGAGGGAGAAGAAGAGGATTTATACCTTTCCCATGTTAGCTGTTATTTACCCATAGCTGGAGGGAGAAGAAGAGGATTCATACCTTTCCCAAGGGTATTAGCACGTAAGTGAATGTAATGGATTCGACTGGAATTCGAACTCGGCTCTCCGATTCCTCAATCCATGCCGCTATCCATTACTCCACCGTGCCGTGCTTTCTACATTCTGTTGAGGTTTATCCTACACTCGATGAATTACTTAATTATAATATCTCAAATATTCTTAATTTCTATCACTCGTATATTCTTGAACGGGCTTCTAAAGCTCTGGATGGAGCGGCTTGGGGATAGTAGCCGTGGCTCGTGGGGGTCATAGTCCTATCGGTAATAGAGAAACTCGGATGAGTTCCACCACGGAATATGTGATCGAGCGGCGCTATATCGGGTCTGATTCGTTACCTCTTCGTCACCGAGGCCCGTTGGAACATTTGGATGACGTTTGCCTGATAACATAACTGTCCGGGTTTCAATTCTTGGTAGTGGATACGCACTGCTGATGAGTCCCAAATATAGGACAAAACGGCCGTCCAGTGCTTTCTGCATTCTGTTGAGGTTTCTTCTAGACTCGATGAATTACTTAATTATAATATATATATATATATATATGAAGAAATATAGTCTTAAGGTCTGCTATATTTATGGGATAAAGTGCTCGATATCAGAGATAGAGCGTGTGTAAATATAAAAGTGAACATTTAAAACAAAACAATTTTTTTTAAATAAACGACTTCCGGTAAAATAACCGCCATAATAGACTACCCACAATGCACCACTGACCCGTATATGTATAAATAGCCGAGAAAAATTACAGCCCACGTGGCCTGACGATTGCATATAGCATGAAACAGACTGTCGCCTTTAAGTGTTGACTTCTATGTTCACTTAAAAAAAAAAAAACTAATTAAGACATGCGTGTCCGTCAACCTTAAACAATAATATTTGTCAATTTTATTTTTAAGTCTTTATGATGGTCGATACTTGATCTATCTCTTACTGTTACATCCCCGGGCAACGCCGGGCTCTACTGCTAGTATATATATATATATATATATATATATATATATATATATATATATATATATACACACGTCGAGGAAGCACGGTGGAGTAATGGATAGTGGTTCGGATTGAGGAATCCATTACATTCCCTTATATGCTAATACTCTTGGGAAAGGTATGAATTTTCTCTCCCCCACCCCAGCTTTGGGTAAATAACAGGGAAGACTTGGATAGCAACTGGTCTAGGAGAAGAACAACTCTGAATTCAAAATCTGCGGAGGGACGTTTGGGGACCTCGTTGTACGTGGTATGCCAGGTCTCTATATTCGGCCCTTCAAAAAAAGTGTGGTTGGTTCTACACAAAGCCTTCACCACTATAATCAAATCATATGTGCAAGTGTCTCGCTGTAGGTTCCTAGGAACTGAGTTGCTTGACCCTCATACGTTGAATACGATGGGAGAGTCCAATATAAAAGCGTAATTTATATATATTTCTATTTATCCCCTGTCTCTGTCTATAAGTTCCTTCTTTCCTTCTATCTATCTCAGTTATTTCATATCTATCTCCAGTTTTCCATTGCTCTCTCTTTCTTTTTCCACTATCTATCTATCTATCTATCTATCTATCTATCTATCTATCTATCTATCTATCTATCTATCTCGACATGCGAAGCTTGTATATACTGTGTATGAATTTTGATTCTCACTGGCTGCTTCATATAAACCTTTGATAAAGAGTCTATATATTGTAAAATCAACCAATATATATATTTCTATTTATCCCCTGTCCCTGTCTATAAGTTCCTTCCTTTTTCTATCTATCTATCTATCTATCTATCTATCTATCTATCTATCTATCTATCTATCTATCTATCTATCTATGTATCTCAGTTATTTCATATCTATCTCCAGTTTTTCATTGCTCTCTTTCTTTTTCCACTATCTATCTATCTATCTATCTATCTATCTATCTATCTATCTATCTATCTATCTATCTATCTATCTATCTATCTCGACATGCGAAGCTTGTATATACTGTGTATGAATTTTGATTCTCACTGGCTGCTTCATATAAACCTTTGATAAAGAGTCTATATATTGTAAAATCAACCAATATATATATTTCTATTTATCCCTGTCCCTGTCTATAAGTTCCTTCCTTTTTCTATCTATCTATCTATCTATCTATCTATCTATCTATCTATCTATCTATCTATCTATCTATCTATCTCAGTTATTTCATATCTATCTCCAGTTTTTCATTGCTCTCTTTCTTTTTCCACTATCTATCTATCTATCTATCTATCTATCTATCTATCTATCTATCTATCTATCTATCTCGACATGCAAGGCTTGTATATACTGTGTATGGATTTTGATTTTGGATGCTTCATATAAACCCTTGATAAAGAGTCTATATGTGGTAAAATCAACCAATCTAACTTAATTATGTCTTTATCGCAGGCTTTATCCAAAGATCTTAGTTTGAATGTAGGTTTTCTTGCACATCAATTAATATATAATGGACATGGAGTGCCAAAAATATTAAGTAGATTGTCGTATTCTTTAACCACATCTAAAGTTCTGATTGTAAATATTGTATTGTGGCATATTCTATCCTCTATTACTATATATAATGGTCATGAAATTTCAAATTAGTTTTAAACAGATTTTGCTTTATTCTTTGCGTTGTGTAATTAAATTTTCCTGTTTATCAAATACTTCTTTGCAAATCACCATTATTATTGCATTAGTGGCCCACCGAGAAACGAAAAAGAAGCTGCTTCCTTTTTTTTTTTACCAAGAAAATTTTGGCGCTTTTTTCCTACCGTATTTCTTTTAGCGATGCGGTTGAATATCGCTTTCCTTTCACCTGTTTTACACATGTGGGGGTCTGGTCTGAAGAATTCCCTCGCAGCTGTATCAGGAAAGCTAACATGATAGACGAATAAAGTAATTAACCTGTAAAATGTCATTCGATCAGACGTTTGGGTATATCTTTCGAAGCAGACGTGTTGAAAGAATCACGTGGGGAAATACTTTTTTGTATCAGTTTCTAAGAAATCAAATTTGAAATTCATCCAACATATAAATGGATTTTTTTTTTCATTTTATTTATTTATTTTTATTTGGATTAGAACATATCTTAAATTAGTAAATATACTTAGTCGAAGAGAGGGAAAAATTTTATTAGTCGGATTGATAAAAACAAACAAACAAAGAATGTTTATTTTACGAGGGAAAATGAATAAAGATATAAATGTTGATTGCCGGAAAGCGACATAAAATTTAAAGAGAAAAAAATTCTGCCAACTTATGGATTTCAAGGAATAGGTTCTTCTACCTCTTCCTTTGTTTTCATTGGAATTTTTTTTTTAATCACTTAAAGGGTAGTTTGCAAAAAATAAAATAAAAAATAAATCAAATAAAAAAATCACAACATAAAAGTGAAGATGATCATTCCCGAAATTCTTTCAATTTCGGAAGCGTCGGAGGCCTCAAGATAAGGCTTTTTAGAAATATGTAAAAAGAGTTACTCAATACACATTTGTTATATAGCGATAAAGTGTCACTGCCGACACTTGAGTTTGAACATAGATCGCCAGTGAGCAAACACAGACGATCACATAATTGACCATAAAGGAAACCCATATATGGGAGGTAGCGTGTGTATAATTGATCTCTATTTCTAAGCTATCCTCTATTACTATTCGACTATTCGGATCATTATATCTAGACTATCCTCTATGACTATACGGGCCGCTATTTCTATTCTATCCTCTATTACTATGCGGATCGCTATTTCTATTCTATCCCCTATTACTATACGGACCGCTATTTCGATTGTATCCTCTAATATTAACGGACAGCTATTTCTATTCTATCCTCTGTTACTAAACGGACCGCTATTTCTATTCTATCCTCTATTACTATACGGACCGCTATTTCTATTCTATCCTCTATTATTAACGGACAGCTATTTCTATTCTATCCTCTATTACTATACGAACCGCTATTTCTATTCTATCCTCTATTACTATACGGACCGCTATTTCGATTGTATCCTCTATTACTAAACGGACCGCTATTTCTATTCTATCCTCTATTTCTATACTGACCGCTATTTCTATTCTACCCTCTATTACTATAAGTACCGCTCTTTCTATTCTATCCTCTATTGCTAAACGGACCGCTATTTCTATTCTATCCCCTATTACTATACGGACCGCTATTTCGATTGTATCCTCTAATATTAACGGACAGCTATTTCTATTCTATCCTCTATTACTAAACGGACCGCTATTTCTATTCTATCCTCTATTACTAAACGGACCGCTATTTCTATTCTATCCTCTATTATTAACGGACAGCTATTTCTATTCTATCCTCTATTATTATACGGACCGCTATTTCTATTCTATCCTCTATTACTAAACGGACCGCTATTTCTATTCTAACCTTTATTACTATACGGAACGCTATTTCTATTCTATCCTCTATTACTATACGGACCGCTATTTCGATTGTATCTTCTATTACTAAACGGACCGCTATTTCTATTCTATCCTCTATTTCTATACTGACCGCTATTTCTATTCTACCCTCTATTACTATAAGTACCGCTCTTTCTATTCTATCCTCTATTGCTAAACGGACCGCTATTTCTATTCTATCCCCTATTACTATACGGACCGCTATTTCGATTGTATCCTCTAATATTAACGGACAGCTATTTCTATTCTATCCTCTATTACTAAACGGACCGCTATTTCTATTCTATCCTCTATTACTATACGGACCGCTATTTCTATTCTATCCTCTATTATTAACGGACAGCTATTTCTATTCTATCCTCTATTACTATACGGACCGCTATTTCTATTCTATCCTCTATTACTAAACGGACCGCTATTTCTATTCTAACCTTTATTACTATACGGAACGCTATTTCTATTCTATCCTCTATTACTATACGGACCGCTATTTCGATTGTATCTTCTATTACTAAACGGACCGCTATTTCTATTCTATCCTCTATTACTATACGGACCGCTATTTCTATTCTATCCTCTATTACTATACGGACCGCTATTTCGATTGTATCTTCTATTACTAAACGGACCGCTATTTCGATTCTATCCTCTATTATTAACGGACAGCTATTTCTGTTCTATCCTCTATTACTATACGAACCGCTATTTCTATTCTATCCTCTATTACTATACGGACCGCTATTTCGATTGTATCTTCTATTACTAAACGGACCGCTATTTCTATTCTATCCTCTATTTCTATACTGACCGCTATTTCTATTCTACCCTCTATTACTATAAGTACCGCTCTTTCTATTCTATCCTCTATTGCTAAACGGACCGCTATTTCTATTCTATCATCTAAAACTAAACGGACGCTATTTCCATTCTATCATCTATTACTATACGGACCGCTATTTCGATTGTATCCTATTACTATACTAACCGCTATTTCTATTCTATCCCCTATTACTATACGGACCGCTATTTCTATTCTATCATATTTTACTATACGGAACGCTATTTCTATTCTATCCTCTATTATTATACGGACCGCTATTTCGATTCTATCCTCTATTATTAACGGACAGCTATTTCTATTCTATCCTCTATTACTATACGAACCGCTATTTCTATTCTATCCTCTATTACTAAACGGACCGCTATTTCTATTCTAACCTTTAAACTATACGGAACGCTATTTCTATTCTATCCTCTATTACTATACGGACCGCTATTTCGATTGTATCTTCTAACTAAACGGACCGCTATTTCTATTCTATCCTCTATTACTATACGGACCGCTATTTCTATTCTATCCTCTATTACTATACGGACCGCTATTTCGATTGTATCTTCTATTACTAAACGGACCGCTATTTCGATTCTATCCTCTATTATTAACGGACAGCTATTTCTATTCTATCCTCTATTACTATACGAACCGCTATTTCTATTCTATCCTCTATTACTATACGGACCGCTATTTCGATTGTATCTTCTATTACTAAACGGACCGCTATTTCTATTCTATCCTCTATTTCTATACTGACCGCTATTTCTATTCTACCCTCTATTACTATAAGTACCGCTCTTTCTATTCTATCCTCTATTGCTAAACGGACCGCTATTTCTATTCTATCCCCTATTACTATACGGACCGCTATTTCGATTGTATCCTCTAATATTAACGGACAGCTATTTCTATTCTATCCTCTATTACTAAACGGACCGCTATTTCTATTCTATCCTCTATTACTATACGGACCGCTATTTCTATTCTATCCTCTATTATTAACGGACAGCTATTTCTATTCTATCCTCTATTACTATACGAACCGCTATTTCTATTCTATCCTCTATTACTAAACGGACCGCTATTTCTATTCTAACCTTTATTACTATACAGAACGCTATTTCTATTCTATCCTCTATTACTATACGGACCGCTATTTCGATTGTATCTTCTATTACTAAACGGACCGCTATTTCTATTCTATCCTCTATTACTATACGGACCGCTATTTCTATTCTATCCTCTATTACTATACGGACCGCTATTTCGATTGTATCTTCTATTACTAAACGGACCGCTATTTCGATTCTATCCTCTATTATTAACGGACAGCTATTTCTGTTCTATCCTCTATTACTATACGAACCGCTATTTCTATTCTATCCTCTATTACTATACGGACCGCTATTTCGATTGTATCTTCTATTACTAAACGGACCGCTATTTCTATTCTATCCTCTATTTCTATACTGTCCGCTATTTCTATTCTACCCTCTATTACTATAAGTACCGCTCTTTCTATTCTATCCTCTATTGCTAAACGGACCGCTATTTCTATTCTATCATCTAAAACTAAACAGACCGCTATTTCCATTCTATCATCTATTACTATACGGACCGCTATTTCGATTGTATCCTCTATTACTATACTAACCGCTATTTCTATTCTATCCCCTATTACTATACGGACCGCTATTTCTATTCTATCATATTTTACTATACGGAACGCTATTTCTATTCTATCCTCTATTATTATACGGACCGCTATTTCGATTCTATCCTCTATTATTAACGGACAGCTATTTCTATTCTATCCTCTATTACTATACGAACCGCTATTTCTATTCTATCCTTTATTACTAAACGGACCGCTATTTCTATTCTATCATCTAAAACTAAACGGACCGCTATTTCCATTCTATCCTCTATTACTATACGGACCGCTATTTCGATTCTATCCTCTATTATTAACGGACAGCTATTTCTATTCTATCCTCTATTACTATACGAACCGCTATTTCTATTCTATCCTCTATTACTAAACGGACCGCTATTTCTATTCTAACCTTTATTACTATACGGATCGCTATTTCTATTCTATCCTCTATTACTATACTGACCGCTATTTCGATTGTATCTTCTATTACTAAACGGACCGCTATTTCTATTCTATCCTCTATTACTATACGGACCGCTATTTCTATTCTATCTATACGGATCGCTATTTCTATTCTATCCTCTATTACTATACGGACCGCTATTTCGATTGTATCTTCTATTACTAAACGGACCGCTATTTCTATTCTATCCTCTATTACTATACGGACCGCTATTTCTATTCTATCTATACGGATCGCTATTTCTATTCTATCCTCTATTACTATACGGACCGCTATTTCGATTGTATCTTCTATTACTAAACGGACCGCTATTTCTATTCTATCTTCTATTACTATACGGACCGCTATTTCTATTCTACCCTCTATTACTATAAGTACCGCTCTTTCTATTCTATCCTCTATTGCTAAACGGACCGCTATTTCTATTCTATCATCTAAAACTAAACGGACCGCTATTTCCATTCTATCATCTATTACTATACGGACCGCTATTTCGATTGTATCCTCTATTACTATACTAACCGCTGTTTCTATTCTATCCCCTATTACTATACGGACCGCTATTTCTATTCTATCCTCTATTACTATACGGACCGCTATTACTATTCTATCCTCTATTACTATACGGATCGCTATTTCTATTCTGTCCTCTATTACTATACAGATCATCATTTCTATTCTATCCTCTATTACTATACGGACCGCTGTTTCTATTCTATCCTCTATTTCTATACGGATCATCATTTCTATTCTATCCTCTATTACTATACGGACCGCTATTTCTATTCTATCCTCTATTAATATACGGACCGCTATTTTCTATACTATTTTACTATACGGATTACTAATCGAGCGAGTATTATCGAGCAAGTACTATTAGTGCGAGTGTTATCCGATGGCGTCTGACACCAGCATTGTTCAACTGCGTTACAATAGTTGTATCTGAGATTACAAAGTCTCTACTACAACGAGCATTACAAAAGTGACAACGAGTATTCGTTGGTATCACAAAAGTAGCAACGAGTGTTCGTTGACATCACAAAAACATTACAGCTATTTATTGAGATTTGTTTGGCACAAGGCCAAAACTGTAAGGGTATTTCGAAAAAGCCTGCGAGACGAACTTGCTAAACAAGATAATATACATACTTGTGCGCTCTTTATGCATGCAAGCACATTCAGAGAGAGAGAGAGAGAGAGAGAGAGAGAGGTGAAGAATAGAGGGGAGCGAGAAAGAAAGAGAGAACTAGGGAGAGGGAGAGAGGTAACGGGAGAGAGAGAAGAGGTGAATGAGTGAGGGGAACGAGAAAGAGAGAGAACTAGGGAGAGGGTGAGAGGTAAATGGGAGAGAGAGAATAAGTAAGAGTATGGAGAGAAAAGACAGATAGTAAAGATAGTAAAAGGAAAGGTGCAGAATGAGAGCGAGAGAGAGAAAGAGGTCAAAAGAATTAAAGAGTGAAGCATATATTTATCAACCACACACACACACACACACACATATATATATATATATTGCTTGAAGCAATCGAACGTCTAGCCTCACTGAAGAGTTGTGAAACAGCGAAACAGTCTGTCTGTGGATGACACAATATATATATATATATATATATATATATATAGAGAGAGAGAGAGAGAGAGAGAGAGAGAGGGAGAGAAAGAAAGTGGGAGAAAGAGAGAGATAACAGGTAGAAGGATAAAAAGAGAAAGATAGTCAAAGAAAGGAAGAGTGATAGAAAGAATACAGAGGAAGGGAGAGGTGAAATAGAGAAGGGAATTGTAGCGAGAAGGAAAAGGAAAGAGAAAGTCAAAGAGAGGAGGAAAGCGAAAAGAAGGAGATCATGTGAGATAAAGAAAGAAAGGGCAAGGACAGAGAAAGACAATAAGAAGAAAAGGTCGTGAGAGGGAGGTAGTAAGAGAGAAGAAAGTAAAATGGAGAGAGAGAGAGAGAGAGAGAGAGAGAGAGAGAGAGAGAGAGAGAGAAGACTTCTTTCATTTACGTCCATCTTAACAAGAGAACGAAACAGATTTGGCGGCAAGCATTAAACGACTCGTTTCAACGCGACATGAATGAAAATATAATTATTTTCGTTTCTCTAGACCAGGGGGCCCGGCAACCTACAGCACGCGTGCCACATGTGGCACGCCAAACAATTTCCAATGATACACAGCCGCAAATGACATCACGATGTCCGAACCAATAACTACTACAACGCAAAGATATTTAGCTGTTTTAAAACTGCTCACCCGTTTGACTCCCATTAATAATAAAACTTCAAAAAATCTTTTAAAAACAGAATATTTCCATTAATGTGGTTTACATATTGTATATATTACTATATATAATATATTGCCGAACACCTGTTCTACAATATATTTTATATAGTAATATATATATTGACATTGACTTGTATAAAAATACGTATGCTGTTGACACATTGAATGATTTTAAAACCCTAAGTCGTCACATAGTCGACAAAAGGTTCCTGACTCCTGCTTTAGACGGTCCTACGGAGTAGTGTGATTTCTATATGTCGGTTTTAAAGGGAGCGTAGCTGCTAGCCCCATACTCGTCTAGTTTTGAATTCAGAATCGTTGTTACTCTTGACAGCTTGTCTGCTAAGGCTGGAGAGCCCAGTCTATCTTGCCATTAAAACTCGTAGTTGGGGATGAGGGAGGGCGAAGAGAGGAATTCATAACTTGTATTTTCCAAGGGAAATGGATTTATTTTCTGCTTTATTTTTCTTATTTATTTATGTATGAAAATGAACACAAACCTGGCTGGAATTTGAGCAAGGCACACCAGTTCCACTTTTAGCGTTGATAGCCACTGCGTTACAAGCACATTCATGATTGTAAATGTAGTCTTTAAAAAGTTTAAAGATATGTTTAGTGGTACAAAATTTTATCACAGACAAAAATTAGTTTTATTATTACCACTCATAATAATAAAAAGTAAAAATGAAAAACGGACTAGCTAACCGGTTTCGTACCTCGCTCAACAGAGGTAAAAATCGAGGTAAAAAGAGTAAATTATATAATAAAAGGAATAATGGACAAAGTATATTGGAGGGAGAGAAAAATATTTAAATGGTAATTAGTTGGAGGCCTAATACGAAGTCCTTCTGTTTAGATAGAGAAGGCTTTAATGATAGAATATAGATGACCTCCAACACTTTTAGGTGGTAATTAGAATGTGACTTGCTAAGGATGGTAAAAGCGTCACCACTAAAACTAACAACACAATTATTGCTATTTATAAGGTATTCTGCGATGGAAGACTCGTATGTATTGCTTAAAATGTTTCGTTTCGATCTTAGCCTATTTTAGTTAATTGGTTTGAAATCGGATTTCGACACACACACACACATTTATATACAGGGTGCTTGTAAAGTAACTCTCCATTTTAAAATACTTATAATTTATTTATTAACTATGATTTTTATAAGAAAGGGATATGAGAGAAAAGCGTTTAGCATGATGTTTTATTTAAAATACGATATGGACATTACCGGCTTCCCGAGCTACTCAGGAATGGCGTAAACTGATTTCATCAGGGACTTTTGTGGTACGGAAGACATAACTTCTTGTATTCGGCCTTCAAGTTTTTCCAAAGTCTTGGTTTGGAATAACAGATTTGCTCCTTTTACCAACCTCAAAGAAAAAAGTCACATGATGTTAATAAAATAGAGAGGTACTTCTTTTCAATCACCATACACACACGCACATATATATATATATATGTGTGTGTGTGTGTATGGTGTTTGAAAAGAAGTAACTCCCTATTTTATTAACATCATATATATATATATATATATATATATTCGTCGGCATCCGTCCGTCTCGAGAGACGATGGAGTAGCGCGGTGCGCTACAAGCCTGGGCGTAATATATGGAGAACTAGGGCTGCCCAGGCGTCTAGTTCCCCTTCTCGGCGTTGTTGGTAGAGTCCAAAGGAGAGGATAAACCAATACAGGTTGTTACCAGCGCGACTGCAGGAGTTGCCGGAAGGTAGCACAAAGTGCTGTCCATCCGCCTTTGGGGATCCACCCCGGGTTTGAATTCAGACTAGTTGCCTATATCAAGGCTATAGAACCCAGTCTGTCCTGCTATTTACCCATAGCTGGAGAGAGAAGAAGAGGATTCTCATCTTTCCTAAGGGTATTAGCACGTAAGTGAATGTAATGGATTCGACTGGAATTCGAACTCCGCTCTCCGATTCCTTAATCCAAGCCGCTATCCATTACTCCTCCTATAGATATAGATCTAGGAAGACTAGTCGATTAAAGACATGGAAACTCCCATTGAAAACCATTTAAGCTATACTTTTAATCAACTTCATGCGGTTATTTGTCTATAGCCTGTATCTAACCTTGACTTTTGAATTTTATCAGGTGATTGGGTGAGCGATTATTGTGCGTCTCTTTTGAAAGCTATGGGTTGATTTTCAAGCTGAGATTTCTAGCATAGTATATTTTATCCTGACAGGATGAATCGTGTCAATTTTATATTCATTACGTTTTCTCCTTGCTGAAGCACGAATTATATTTCATGTTAATTAATTCCACCTGCTCTCTATTGAAAAAAAAGCATTAAATCGATAATTTCGAAATAAAGAAACAGATTAATTTCTTTCCTCATAAAATAACTTGTTAAATTAGTTATAAGCGAAACATGTGTTTGTGTTATTGGCACTAAATCGCATAAAAGAAAGGGGATTTCCCTTGATATATTCAAAGGAGTTACAATTAATGTTGATCAAAACGGTTTCGATTCGGATGAATTGGAATCATCATCGTGTATGTCATAAAAATCGGGTAACTCCTCCCCGACAATAGAACGCGGGAATTCTATAGAATTATTTCTCTTACGATTTAACATCCATTATGGTTATTCGCTTTGAAGTGCTTCCCTTTTTCGAACGGCCACATCTTCTCACTTCCTTATCTTCCCTCCCCTTTCACTTACCACATTTTACAGCCATCGGCCATTACCTCATCTTCCATTTCAATTGGCCATTTTATTTTTCTCGAAGTCTTCTTTTGCCGAAATGACAATCTAGCTTGACTACTTCATCTAAATTATGCTGTCCAGTTTTTGAGGCTAGTGGATATTTCTGACGGGCAAATCATAACCTTATTTCATTACCTCAAACTGTCATAGTCTTTAGTCTGGAGGCAGTGCTCATTGCCATTCTCAAGTGACAAGCGCAACAATCTCCAGATGGCGCCACCCATCAAACGACTCTATAATCTGACCGCCTCGCAAACACTCCGGCCAGTCCCCCCCCCCTATTCTTGTAGCTGGGCTGGCCCTCCTCTTCTTTGCGGTCGAACATTCAAATAAACAGTAAATAGTCATTTTGTTAGATAGCGTCAGAGATGGTTAATGTCACAGCAAAATTAAAGTCATAAAGAAAGAAAGAAGAAGAATGAAAAGGATAAAGAAAGAAATAAAGTACGAAAGAAAGAAAATAAGGAGGAAGAGTACAAGCAATGCAAGCTAGAAAGAAAGGATGGAAAAATAAAGAAAAAATAATGAACGTACGAAAAAAAGAAAGAAAATAAGAAGCAAGTATGGGAAGAAGAAAAAAACAGAAAGTGAGAAGGAATTGAAAGAAAGAAAGAAAGAAAGAAAGAAAGAAAGAAAGAAAGAAAGAGAAATGATGGAGAAAGAAAGAAAGAGAAATGATGGAGAAAGAAAGAAAGAAAGAAAGAAAGAAAGAAAGAAAGAGAAATGATGAAGAAAGAAAGAAAGAAAGAAAGAAAGAAAGAAAGAAAGAAAGAAAGAAAGAAAGAAAGAAAGAGAAATGATGGAGAAAGAAAGAAAAAATTAGCGTACAGAAAAAGGAAGTGTGATCGGAGAAAAAAAATAGAAGGCCATAAGGAAAATAGGAAGAGAAGGAATGGAAGTTTGAACGAAAGAAAGAAAGAAAGAAAGATGAAATAAAGCAAGAAAGAAAGAAAGAAAGAAAGAAAGAAAGAGAGAAAGAAAAAAGAAAAAAAATGAAAGACATTAGATGGGAAAAAAAAACTAAGTAAAAAAATCTCAATATAAAAGTAAGAGCAACGATTTTCTCGGATGAAACCTGGTATTATCAGAGAGAAGCAGACAATTGATAATTTGATTTGCAGCTGAACAAATGTATGTCTGTTTCCAATCACATTCACATTATAAGCAATATTATATTTCTTCTGTCCACGATCAGACATTTTCCTTCTTCCGTATGTTCCACCTCCTCTCCTATTTCCTCGTTACCTCTTTTCTTTTCATTTTTGTTTTCTTTCTCTCGTCCATCGACTCCCTTCCATCTTTCACTTGTGTTTTTTCGGCCTCCATTTCTCCAATATCTTACAGGCTTCAGTTTTACTTTAATATTTTATAAGCATTTTATTTTTGCCTATTACAAAACGATTACTGCCTTTTCTATTAACAACCAGTTTTTATTTTTATTTTCTTTCCAAAGTTAGATTTTAAATTAAATTTTTTCACGTCAAGTCAATCTTAGCCTGTTACGTACCTCGCTTTATTTTTTTTTTTCTTCGGATGAGCATACCGCGTTACATTTTAAACACAGTTCTCTCCCCTTTTTCCCATTATTTTGGCTCGGAACTGCCATAACGGTATTTTAGCCAATTGAATCAGTAAAAACAGCAATTATCATGATTGTCCGATTTTTGACGATAAATCACTAGAATAATACGTTTGGAAAAATTTGGAAACATTTCACCGAAAGAGAGATGTTATTTTCGCTCGTCTCTTTTTCTTTTTCCTTGAAATAATTCGTGTTTCGCTTTTCAGCCGCCATTTTTTTTTCTTGTTTCTTTGTACTTATCTACCCACACCCACGTTCGCTGTTCATCAATCATCACAGCGTTATTATTCTACAGATGGCTAGTTTCTTTCTTTTTATTCTCACAATGTTTCTGGCCAATTTATTTTCGAGTGTTTAAATTTAATCGCAAGAATTTAAAATAATGAAGTGGGTTCGAATAAGGCAGAGACGCTTCGACTACCCTTTGTCGTTTCATATGGCGACACCCTAACCGTTTCTGCTCGGAAAGCTAATGCGATCAAGTAATTTCTCGTTCCTCATCTTCCTATTTTTACTGATAGCCACCCAAGACCCGAGAGCCACTCAAGGTAGAAGCTTACCGAATTGAAAGTAGGTAACGATTGAGCCGAGAGTTGAAGATGTTAAGATTGTAGAGACTAGGGAAAGCATCCACTCGGAAGTCTGTTCCACAAAACTGTGCTTTTTAGGAAGAATCTGTCCTAATATAAGTTTCTTCTTATTTCCTTCTGTGATGAAGAAGAAATCTAGTGGAAGACCAAGAAGATCTATTGAAAGAGCAAAGATTATCAAAGAAGCATTTCACAATTGCTCAAAAATGTCTATCCGGACTGCATCTCTAGAATTAAATATCCCCAAAATTTCTATTCATCCTATTCTCCGTGAAGAACTGAGTTACATGACACAAGGACAAAATAAAGATGAATCAAGTTGCGTCATATCTTTTCTTCATGTTTGAGGAGGTTGTCCAACATTCGCTGCCATAATGGAGGACTTATATTACGTAATGGTTCAATACTCTTTTCGTTGTTTGTAACGAAATTTTCCTGTTTCTTAATATTTTTCTTAACTTTTAGAAGGCATCTTTCGCTGTCCCATTGCATCTTCGGATTTCGGTGTCGCACTTTCTATCCGATGTTAAAACATTTCCAAGATTGTACTTGCTTGATTTTGATATCTCTAATTTATAATTTGTATTTTGGGCTATTCCTTCTGCTGAAAACCGTGTATTCTTTGGAATACAAAAGCAATGAAAATGAGTCGATCGTGTATACGTGTCATAGTGTGTCTTCACTGTAAAGGTTTCAACTAACAGAACAAAGGAATGTAGCTTGTCAGAACAGTTTTCGAGGAAAAAGCGTTAGTATAGCGACATTTTCAGGTATCAACGAACCATTTCCCTTCTACAGTCATAATTATTTTTGTATTTTTCCTTTGCTAAATAAATTTGCTGATATGTATTTGATGTTCCCACTACTCCATACAGTTTGCATTTCCTATTTACATTAACCCTTTGAGCCCTGAACACCGCTTTACCGGTGGTAGAGAAAAACGACATAATGTCCACACACCGGTTGAACCGTGGTAGGGAAAAATGATGTAATGTTCAGCCACCGGTTGAACGGTGGTAGAGAAAATAACTTAATGTCCAGCCACCAGTTGAACAGTGGTAGAGAAAAATGACGTAATGCCCAGCCACCGGTTGAACGGTGGTAGTGAAAAATGACATAATGTCCACACACCAGTTGAACAGTGGTAGAGAAAAATGTCTTAATGGCCAGCCACCGGTTGAACCGTGGTAGAGAAAAATGACTTAATCTCCAGCCACTGACTGAACGATGGTAGAAAAAAATGTCTTAATGCCCAGCCACAGGTTGAACAGTGGTAGAGAAAAATGACTTAATGCCTAGCCACCGGTTTAACGGTGGGTAAACACTTGTAACTATTTTTATATTTACCGTGAAACATTTCATAACAATTATTTGCGAATGTTGACTTAGGAGCCCAGACAGAAGAGTTAAAATTGTTAAGGGACTCGAGGCTCAAAGGGTTAGTATTATTATAAAATGTGTTTGTTTGTGTACAGATAAAATTTACGAACAGTTAAAATATGTAAACATATCAAAGGGAGCGTCTGGAAAATTGAAATTATTCTACAGGTGTAAAATTCAGAATATGAAAAAGAAATCATTTGAAAATGTGTAGGGTTCTGTGAATATATGATAATGTATAAACCAATTCCAGTAGTATATGTCCATAATTTGTCACATTGATAAAAAACTTTCTGCCTCTTTGTGTCTCCTTGTAAAGAAGACACAAGAAAGCAGCCATGTTACAAGGTAAGTCACATGACTTCTACATGTAGGAATTTTGCATTTCAGCCAAACTCGATTCATCAGGGAGTTAAGAAACATAATATTAGAGATTTGTTATATGGTTCCTTGTACACCAATAACAACTAGTATTGCTTAAATTTTGAGATGCCATATTATAGTGGAACACACCTATTCTATAATTAATAGACTCTCCCACCTATAATAAGTTGGAGTAGTAAGAGTCGGTCAGTGAGTGAGTGAGTCGGTCGGTGAGTCAGTCGATGTCGGACGACAGTTAGTCGGATACTAAAGTATCAGCGACTACAACAAGATTACTCTGCGTCATTACCTATTATATCATATTCCTAACGTTTTGTACGTCGAACCTATTTTAGGACCGACTTAGTACAAATACAAGCCTCCACTGTGAAATCACTCCACAACACATATCTTCTGAATTTCAATTTGTTTATTTTTGTTAGAGTATAAGTACTAACATTACCTTCATATTCAATAATTTCTACACAAATATTGATGTTTTAATAGTTATCTATTTCCTCCTTAATTTTCAACTTTGACTTTAGTCATTTGATTTTTGGAAGTGGGTTTGGCCCAGAACGTTTTTGAAAACCACCGAAGATATAATATTGTGTGTGTGTGTGAGGGAGAGAGAGAAAGAGAGAGAGAGAGAGAGAGAAAGAGAGAGACTTTAATTCCTGAAATAACCATAGAGTGTCTCTAAGTGAGACAGGCAAACATTTGTAACTGAGCGCGTCCTGACATGTTCCAACTTTGTTTTTCTTAGATGACTCATTCGTTGCCATGCAACATAGGAAGTTATATGTGTTCATGTTATACTGTTAGCGAGAAATGAGCAAATACATTTGGAGCAGCAGATTAACACCAGGTTTTGCGAGGAGATTGGTAAAAGCCCTAGTGAAACATTAGCCTATTAAAATGACCTATGATGAACATGCCATGAAGAAATCGAATGTTTTTTTTTCGGCAGCACAGACGGTTCAAGGAAAGGCGATGTGCTCGATGGCGGCAACTAAAAATACAAAGACTAGATGCAAATGTGGACAGAATGCAAACCTTGGTGCGTTCAAATCGAAGTTCAAGTGTATCACTGATAGCAAAAGAACAAGTGCAGCAAATTCTAACAGAGAATTTGGGAAGGGTAAAAATTAGGCTTTAGGGAATTGTGATTTACTGGCTAAGATATCCATTAAAAAACGGGGTCATCCTCTTTATTCGCCAGACTTAGCTTGCTATATTTTTATGTACAATAGATCTACAAGTAGACACAAGGAGGCAGCCATGTTAGAAGATAAGTCATTTGACTTCTACATAATATTTCAGATTTTTTATATGGTTCCTTGTACACTAATAACAACTAGTATTGTCTAAATTTTGAGATGTCATATCATCTGAATTTCAATTTGTTTTTTTTTATTGTTATTATTTTATTATTTCCTTTGATTTTTGCTGTATACTCAATTTTGTAAAATAAAAACAATTACAAATGAGTTGGATTCTGTGAATATATACCTATGAACATGCAAAATTCAGTAGTATAGGCCCATAATTTGTAACACTGATAAAACATTCCTGACGATCAATGAGTACAGTCTTTGGTATTTTAGACAAACTTCATTCGCCAGAGAGTTGAGAAACATATTTTTTCAAATGTTTTGGTATTGGTTCTCTGTACACCAATAACAATTGCCGGAGTTGAGAATGCGTGGTCACTTCCGTCTTGGCTTACTTCCGTCTTGGCTTCTAACTTATTTATTAGTCCATGTTATTTTCTCCATTCAACACTGATCGCATTCTGTACAGAAGATATATGAAGCATAATGTCAACGACTCAAGATAAAGCCCAAATCGTTCGACTTGTGCATGAATGTGGTTCTATAGCTAAAGCCCAGGAATGTTTTACACTTGAACTAAACAAACTAGCACCTCACCGCCATTCCATACGCCGATGGGTGAAGCAGTTTGAAGAGACAGAGCCTGTGATGAAGAAGAATTTTTTTGTTATTAACGCACTCACTGTGACTTATTTCGCATTGGAATAATATTCTTTGTTGATAACTATGCCACTGAGATCTCTTTTTGGATGAAAGCTGGCATCGAAGTTTTTTTGCCATCATGAAAATGCCAAGTGAAGCCACAATCTTGTTTATTTCCTGTCTATTCAGCCGCTATAGCCCACATGAATCACTTCTTCCGGGTATACCAAAGCGACAGGTCCAGTTACCAATAACAATTGGGATTATTTGATTTGCTGTCATGATAGCTTTCATATATTTGTATTCTTTGACTATTTGCTTTATTATTATATAATGTTAATACAATATTCACTTGTAAAACAATCGAATTATTCTTATAATCCAAAAATAAGTTTTGTCTTTAAATAACTTATAAAAGTTTGATAAGCTGTCAAAAAAACAAAATCAAGAAAAAACAATAGTTGCCTTTTTAATTCTGGCGACCTTAGTCTGGAGGGCAGTGTACTTTTCTTATTTAATCAGAATCACTCCAAGAAAGGCAGTAATACCACTAAAAAGAAACTAAACAAAGAACTAAACAAAATGAACACAAAACGATCAGCTTTAAAAAAGAACTCGTAACTGGAAAAACCGAATGAAAAAAGTATGTTAACAACAAATACTTTTTCACATCCAACCCAGTTCTGCGGAATCAGAATCAACGTTGAGTTTAAGCAAGTGAATAAGCCAAATGGAGTAAAGTGCCATGCATATTTAAATTTTTCCCACTTTTGACGAATGCAGCTATCGATTTTTTTTTGCATGCTAGCATGCTAGTTAACATTCGTGTCAGTCAAGCTGGCCAATACAAAATGGCCGCAAACTACATGAAAACTGCCGAAGAAGTATGAAAAAATCGATTATTTCCACTATCGATGGGAGTTGGGAAATGCAAAGTCGGTCTTGGCCTTCCCGCTAACTTGGAGCATGTGCATGTAAATTTTGGTGCAAATCCGTCGAAAATTGCGGCCGTGCATTCGTTACACACACACCTTTTATAGATAGAGATTATAACGTATAAAGAGTATTGCGCTATTGAAATTATGTTATGAAGTGCCATGTTTGTTGTTTTCTTTCTTTCTTTTTATGTGCCATGTCTTTTCAGGACGTTGACGATCATGGCTCTCCACCTCCCTCAATCCCTTGTAGCTCTCAACAAGTTCCTTCCCTCTGCTTCCTCCCCCAGACCACGTTCTCTCATCTACATGCTTAAGTCCGTCAGATATGCCACGCGTTGTTTTCTCTTGTCTCTCTTTCCCTTTATTAGGCCCTTCTTCCTTATTATGTGTCCCAGGAACTTCAGTTGCCTCTTCCTGATGTTAAGTATCAGCCTCCTCGTTGTTTGCATCCTCTCTAAGACCTCATCTTTGCTCACGCGTATGGTCCGTGATATCCTTAGCATCTTTCTGTAGAACCACATCTCCGTCACCACAAGTCTCTTCTTCATTTTCGAAGAAATTGTCCAACATTCGCTGCCGTAAAGAAGGACTGATGTTACGTAACAGCTCAGTATTTTTTTCTTTGTTACTAAAGAAATCCTCCCGTCTGGCAATACTCAGCCCAGCTTTTGTTGTTTTAGTCTTACAAAAAAACCTACAAAATAATACAGAAATCTTATTATTATGACAGTAATAACTGTTGTTTTTTTTAAAGACTTTTTGTGGAAGTACAACGCTTTTAATGGTATTTTTTTTTAAAACTGAATCCGTTCTTTAGCTATTAAATAAATTCGTCGGAATTTGTATGAATATGTTTACTCCGAACGTTTATTCATACTTCCTGTCGTTTAATCGTCGAAAAAGAATCGACAGACGGACTAAAAAGGGTGATACAAAGCAAATAAATTTTAAAAAATAAAAAAAAATACAAAAATGTTGAGGCACATGAAAACTAGTAATAAAATATGTGTTTTAATGAAAATACTTAAAATAGCTTCGATCGTAATGATAACAATTTTGATTTAATCTCCATTTTTAAACCGTTAAAAATGTGCATTAGTTTCACATAATTTCTGCATATTCACAACGCCTTTCAAATTTGCTTCTGAGTTCGTTTTTCATAAGTCGTTTGTTAAGACGTAGGAAGGGGAGTTTTTTTAATTGCTGAGTTATGAAAAATATACATACCGAGTTGTAATCGTTTTCTGGCTATAGTAATCACATTGACTTGAAAGAATATCTTCTCAATATGACGTAAATCCTGCCTATGCTGTTTTGTTTTGTTTTTGTTTTGGTGGGGTGGAGAAAAATAAAGACCAATTTGTTCATATTTACAAAAATTAGAAAAAATAAAAATAATAAAGTAAAAATTTCTGCTTGTTCTGCGGAATTCTTTAGATACAAATCAAACTATGGAAAACAACGAGAAAGGCGACATTTGCTGAAGCGAAAGAAAACTGTCCTAAAAAATATGGTTATTCTCTAAGTGTAGGTTTAGATGTGGCACAAGGCCGAAAGTATGGAGCACGCAGTAAGGATCGAACTCACTCCTAAGTCGTAGTTGATCTATCGAGCCAAGCTTGTTAACCATTACACCACGTCGAAGTGCCGAAATGATTTTATAAGCATAGCTTAGATGTGGCACAAGGCCGAAAGGATGGAGCACTCAGTTAGCATCGTACTCCTTATTCAGTCGTAAGTGATCTAGCAAGAGAAACTTGCTAACCATTGCATCAAGCCGAAATGCCGAAATGATTTTATAAGCGTAGCTTAGATGTGGCACAAGGCCGAAAGTATGGAGCACCCAGTGAGGATCGTCGTCATTATTCGGTCGTAGTTGATCTAGCGAATCAAGCTTGTTAACCATTACACCATTTCGAAATGCCCTAGATACTCTCATATGTATAACTTCTTCTATGTGTCACGACCATTTAGGATGTGGGCCATTATGACTCTCTACACCTTCCTATAGAAATATTTGACTTTTTACTCTGTCATCCATTTCCGCAAGTTTTTTTTTTTTTATATCGGTTACTCTCTGTATATCATTGCCCTTCTTACCCTCACTACCTGCGACTATTAAATTCTACAAGCCATGTTTCTTCATTATGTTTTCTAGAAATTTCAATTTTTGAGAGTAAGCCATTTTTGACATGAAGATACGTACTGCTACCATCACGTGTAAATTGTTCTTGTCAACATTCAGCTGCAACCAAAGAAAATTATTTGGCGCAAAATCATTGACAGTTGCATATGGGAAAATTCAAACGCAAAATCAGCGTTAATTCAATTTTCTCAAAGATACACTTACATCCCTTATCCAAAAAAAAAAAGAAGCAGAATTCAGGACGATCCCGAGAATATATCGATTTCAGTAATGTCGTAATCCGTTTGGTTTCGATTTTTCCTTGAATTTATAATTCTTTTAAACTTTTTGCAATTTTCTTTGTGACTGCTTCAAACCTTCCTACTTTAATACCTACGACTTTTGCCCTCATATTGAACATTTTTTAGGCTTTCAACTTATTCCTAACATCACACTGTGACATTTTTTTTTCTTTCTTTACACTGATTAGGTTTGGTGTCCTGAATTAGGTTGGGTGATCTCATTACGGAAATCAATGTATTGTGGGGATCATCCTCTATCCTGCCTTTTTTTTCTGGATAAGGGATGTAAGTGTATTTTTGAGAAAATTGAGTTAACACAGATTTTGTGTTTGAATTTTCCCATATGCAACTGTCAATGATTTTTCGCCAAATAATTTTTTTGGTTGCAGCTGAATGTTGACAAGAAAAATTTACAGGTGATGATAATAATTCATACCTTATGCTATGTCGTGGCCTTGTTAGAACCAGAAATAAAGACACAAGGGAGGAATTGAGTTAAACAAATATATTGACAGAAACAGTAATACGAACATATACAAACGAGAGTGTTACAGCAAGAATGTTCGGTCCATCTGTCAGAGCTGACTGCTGGAGACTTCCCTTTCCAAAAAGCAGTACCTGCTTCTATTTATAACTGAGAGAGTTCATGCGTGTGTGCGTAAATTACCATAACATGTCAAAAATAAGCTTATTTTCAAAAATTTAAATTTCTAAGAAAAAAACTAAATTTGCTAATTTATTTTTATTTTTTTAGGATAGATATGATTTTATGCATATATCTTTAGGCTACCTTATTATATCAAAATTGTTTGCGTAATTCTTAGCGGATCACTGTTCCTGCCCAATCATGTGCTTTTTTCGTGCACATTCACTTACATATAGACAATCTGACCAGAAATATTTGGGATGGAACTGTCCAGTCTTTTCTTTACCGCAGAGTTCAAAAGCATTTACACGGCCTTGTAGGCGATGAATTATTTTTCCATCCTACAATCTTTCTCCTTAGAGATGTAACATCGCAAGCCTCTCAGTATTCTATCGGTATTTCCATGAAAAATATTTTGGCGAGCGAGATTCCGTAGTTCAACCAATTCAGATGCTTACAGCTATGACCAACGATGCTAGTTATAGTCAGGGGTGAACCACCATCATTTTCTAGTGGCAGGGAAGATATTCCATTCGGACAACTTCTTCTCAAGAGCTTCTACTTTATGAGACATAACCCCGAGAGGCTGCCTCCCCGATTACTACAATCTTAACATCCTCATATATACGAATAATCGTTACGTATCATTCATCTCATACGTTGCACTCACTCCCCTGATACAAACATACAACAACCTCATTTCGTCATCCTCTACCTTGAGTGGTTACTGAGCCTTTGATTTGGCTGGACATTGAGTAAAAAGTTTAATTTCTGTCTCTTAACTATCAACAATTGCTTCTTTGTTATATCTTGTCTATCTTAGTCGCCTAGAATAGATGTATTAACACAAGTTAATACATTTATTTTAGGCGGTTATAAATGGTGATTTAGTTTCTTTTTTCGAGTGTCCTCTGTGCAACCATGCCCTTACCATTTTGTTTTCTCTAGAATTTTTCAGAAAATTGTTTTTCTTGAACTATTTGGCATATTAATTATAAGCGAATTGTTTGAATCCAACTTGGATTTTAACTTTCATTAAACGCATTAATTGTTCTAATGAACTTTCCGGTATGGTACTAAAGCTTTATGAATTTAAGCGCATTACTAGATTAACGCCAAGATCTCATCATTTAACGGTTGAAATGGTTAGACATAACCGTAAGTTCTGTGCTAACAGTTTCTTTTATCGCACTTCTTGCTTGTGGAACTCTCTTCCGGCTTCTTGCTTCTCAGTCAAATTTGATCTTCAAAAATTTAAATGCAATGTCAATGGTTATCATCTGTCCTCTCTAATTCTTATTTATTTATTGTCCTCTCTCTTCACTCGTAGTTTTCTCTTATTTTCTAAGACTCAGTAATCTCCTTGCGCCTTAGTGGCTTTATTGTCTTGCTTGGGGTAAAATAATTTAAAAAAAACCCCGCTTCATGTGAAATTTGTCAAAACATTCCTGTTCCATTCAGTGAAAATGGTTGCTATGAATGACGAAAAAAAAAAAAGTTGCTTGGAAACAAAAAGAAAACTATTGTAATTCGTGCAGAGTCTTCTCCCCTGTGTTGAAATAGCCTCTGCCGCCAGGTGGCGAAGTGATATGTGGTTGAACATAAAAGAATGCACATCCGAAGATGTCTTCTTGTCATGTAACTCGTGTTTTCATTCTTAATCCATTCTTTTTTTTTTTCGAGAACACACGTTGTTAGTAATCTAATTCGTTCTTATGCTATCAAGATATTCCCATAATGACCTTGTATGCTTGACCATAGAGGGGCAAATTTCTATCCCAAATAATAAAGTCTAGAGTTACTGACGCTATAAATATTTATTGTGACCAAACGGTCAGTAATTAATCCTCGCAGTCGGTTCACTCATGACTCAATCCGCCATCTTGTAGCTATAAATGGCTGCTATGCACATTAGGGACTACGCAATATCTTTTCTCTTTATGACGCTGGGAAAGAAAGACAATGTCCATAGCCTGTTGTGGGTCGCTTCATAATGATGACATAATAATAGATGATTATACCACTTGGGTAACGAGGATTTTATAACTACACGAATGTATCGACGGTTATTTTGGGGACCTGCGCAGATACTGAAAATTAGAAATTGATTAAATATTTTTCTCATGGGAGGCAACAAAATCTTTAACATTCTAAAAAGGGATATTTATTTTTAAACCATTTAAGACTTTTTTTAATGACATACCATTTCAAGAAATATGCAATTATGGCTCTCCATAGATTCCTTTTCTTTATTTTCTGTGAATTGGCGCTGGTTCTTGGGAAAGATATCGGAGTAGTTTTCCGTTGCTTGCTCCAATGATTTAAATAAAGCCTTCTCTTAGGCATACTGCTCTTCAAAGCTAGAGAGCGTCTACCCTGCTATTTAAATCATAACTGGGGAAGAGATGGATTCATGCCTTTTCAAAGGTCTATTAGTGCGAAAGTGAACGCAACAGAATAGGTCGGAACTTGAAATCGGTTCGCCGATTTTGTTATCCGCGCCAGTAACTGTTACGTTAACCGCAATTAACTTTTAGCAGTAATATCTTTTTTACAAAAAAAGAAAAGAAAAAGAAAAGAGAAAAAAGGAAAGAAAAAGAAAAGAAAAAGAAAAGAAAAGAAAATAGAAACGAAAAAAGAAAGAAAGAAAAGAAAAAGAAGGAAAAGAAAAAGAAAGAAAAAAGGAATGAAAAGAAAAAGAAAAGAAAAAAGAAAAAGAAAAGAAAAAAGAAAAAGAAAATAGAAAAGAAAAAGGAAAGAAAAGAAAAAGAAAAAGAAAGAAATAAGAAAAAAAGAAAAGAAAAAAGAAAAAGTGAAAAGAAAAAAGAAAAGAAAAAGAAAAAAGAAAAAAGAAAAGAAAAAGAAAAGAAGAAGGTAAAGAAGAAGTAAAACGAAAAAGAAAAAAGGAAAGAAAAAAGAAAAGAAAAAGAAAGAAAAAAAAAGAAAAAGAAAAGCAAAAGAAAATAGAAAAGAAAAAAGAAAGAAAAGAAAAAGAAAAGAAAGAAATAAGAAAGAAAAAGAAAAAGTAAAACGAAAAAGAAAAAAGAAAAGAAAAAAGAAAAGAAAAAGAAAGAAAAAAGAAAAAGAAAAAAGAAAAGAAAAAAAGAAAAAAATGAAAAAGGTAAAGAAAAAGTAAAACGAAAAAGAAAAAAGAAAATAGAAGAGAAAAAAAGAAAGAAAGAAAAGAAAAAGAAAGAAAAATGAAAAAGAAAAGAAAAAAGAAAAGAAAAAGAAAGAAAAAAGAAAAAGAAAAAGAAAAAGAAAAGAAGAAGAAAATAGAAAAGAAAAAAGAAAGAAAAGAAAAAGAAAGAAATAAGAAAAAAGAAAAGAAAAAAGAAAATGAAAAAGTAAAAGGAAAAAGAAAAAAGAAAAGAAAAAGAAAGAAAAAGAAAAAGAAAAAAGAAAGGAAAAAGAAAAAAGGTAAAGAAAAAGTAAAAGGAAAAAGAAAAAAGAAAAGAAAAAAGAAAATAGAAAAGAAAAAAGAAAGAAAGAAAAGTAAAAGAAAGAAAAAAGAAAAAGAAAATAGAAAAGAAAAATGATAAGAAAAAGGAAAAAAAAAGGAAAAAGAAAAGAAAAAAGAACACAGTTTCTGAAGTTCATCAATTTAAGAAATTTGCTCAGTAAGCAATGTAATATCAATCCTTTTATATGAAAGAGAATACTGGACAATCTGCTCATATGAAGGGGTGGCTTAATGCAACAAAAATGTGGTTCTACAGTAGGATGTTGAGAATACCATATTCCGAACGTGTTAGCAACGACGAAGTTTAAACAAAAATTGGAAACAAAAAGGACGCTTATACTAAACATCAGGAAAAAAAAATGTAATTTCCAGGGAACATAAGTGGGCTTGAAAAATTTGACACCCACATGACAGATTGAAGTCAAGAGGGACGGAGAAAGACAACGGAGCAGGGTTTGGGATAGATTTGCAAAAAGACAAAATTTATAAAGAACTACAAAGGATATGAAACAGTGGGTGGCCAGGATCATCAACGTCTAGGCGGGTCACGTCCCATAGAAGAAATACAGTTTATGTCTTATCCGTGTGAAGAAGCAATCAGAGTAAGTTAGTCCAAAATACAGACCTAGACATGTAATTGTGCTTTAGTCTGATTTCTACGTTTGCTATTTACCATTATTGGTTCTTTTTTTGAAAGAGCAATTGGCAATAATACGAAAAATAAGAAGGCGAAAACACAGTCGCAGGTCGAAGCCGCTAATGCCTCAGAACATAGTAAAATCTTTTAAGGAGTCACGACCAAAATGTTCGGCGCGTCTAATTTCATTGTTAGCCATTTAGATGGAAATTAGTGGCAATCGATAGAAAAAGCCAAGACAAAAGCTGAATGAATGCTGATGTGTCTTCGTCTTCTTCTGATTATTCGGCTCGCTCAGTCTCATTCTTCTGCCGATAATGAAGATAATGAAGTCAATTCATCTACTGACTGTCGTCATTTCAGTGTCAACAAACTAGGCCAACTTGCAAAACCTCATGCAAAGCCGAGAATATGCTTCAACTTGTTGAGAGGACATGTTCAAAACTGTTTGCAGGTTTCATTCGAATGATCATCTAAAAGGTGTAGAAGCTATTTTTATTAAGTCAAGCTAATCTTTCTTATGTAAACCGTCCTGGGTAAGACGATAGCTACATCCGTCAGCAAGGCCTCTAATCAGGAGGTTTTGAGGCGCGTGGAACCACCTCTTAGTTGCTGGTGTTCCCAGGTCCCACCTGATCCTGGGTTAGAGCACCTATTAGGGAGTTCCCAGCTATGGGAAAATAGTTAACTCCAAACTGGGGTCAAAACACTATGAAAGTGTAAAAATAGGTTTTATTACCAACAATTCATTTTCGTAAAGAATTATTACCAGTAATGGATATTTGAAAGAAAAAATTATTACCAGCAATACATTTTTGAAAGAAAAAAATATTACCAGCAATACATATTTGAAGGAAAAAATATTACCAGAAATACATATTTGAAAGAAAAAATATTACCAGCAATACATATTTGAAAGAAAAAATATTACTAGAAATACATTTTTGAAGGAAAAATATTACCAGCAATACATATTTGAAAGAAAAAATATTATCAGCAATACATTTTTGAAGGAAAAAAATATTACCAGCAATACATATTTGAAAGAAAAAATATTACCAGCAATACATTTTTGAAGGAAAAAAATATTACCAGCAATACATATTTGAAAGAAAAAATATTACCAGCAATACATATTTGAAAGAAAAATATTACCAGCAATACATATTAGAAAGAAAAAAATATTACCCTATTTACATTATTCGGACTATTGTCCTCATTTTTGTTGCCATATTTATCACAACGTTTCAGCCGTTGTAAGCTCCGGCCTTTTTCAGGTGGTTTGAATGTTGAACTGAACCCTTTATTTCGCTCGCTGGGGTAGACTGTTCTAGTTCCACGTATCATGTCTAATGGATGTCAAAAATACTACCAGCAATTAATTTTTGGAAAAAAATTATTACCAGCATTAAATAACCCATTGAAGTTGACATACCGTAAAACAAAACAAACGAAACCAAACCTTATGTAATTATAAAAAATAGTTGCTGAGATTCAATAGGATTTGCTTTTAAAATATTTCCGTTTATTGATACGGTGTATTATTTTTTTATCCCATGTGTTCGTTTCGTTGGTTATGCACAAAAATATTTTATAAAAAATGTTCAATGGATTTCTAATGAGCGTAGCGCGATAGAAGATATATATTGATGCCTAATTCTTTTTCTTTTTTTCTCTTTCGTAGTAAATTATTTCATTTGTTTCCCTCGGTTTTACCATCATTTTAATTATGTCCGCCCTTCTTGCTGTAATCTTCTTCAGATTATGCAGTCGTCAACGCATTACTATAAGTCTGAAAATAATAATTCTAATGCACCATAGATCCGTATTCTAGACAGTACCTGCTCATTGCATCAAAAGCACTACACATAAAATCTGAATTATAGGCTGAAGAACTTAGGTATATCGAAGCAAAATCCATATAAAAAAAAAAGATTTTGTAACTGTTTTGCATTTTGGAAGGAAGCAAATACCGTTCTAAACTCATTGACGAATCTCTTTATCAACCCACATTTCTTGCTTGGTTTCACCGTTTAAAGAAAGCATGCCAGGTACTCCTGTAATGACCGGTATTCCATATTCAGGTTTTTTTCAAGTTTTCGTTATTGTTGCATAATTCCAAAATAAATTGGCAGATTCGTTTAGATACTAACATTTTTTTTTAATTTGTTTTTTTCTTTTGTCCTTAGAAAATTCTGCTTTAAATATAAAAAAAAGTGGAATTGATTAATTCATTTGTTTTTTACGGCTTATCAACCCTTTCTCGTTTATTTAAAGCCGAAAAATATTTTGGATTGTAACAATAATCTTTTCTTATTTTATAGTGAATATTGTAGTAACAATTTTTTTGGAGCCAAACAATGATTTTACTAGTCTCATTATTTCACCAATGGCTGGATTCATACAAGGATATTTTTGCGGAAGTGAATGCAATAAAGCCAACTGGAATTCGAACTCGGCACCTTTATTTTCCATTCCGAGCCGCCATCCATTACAGCACCCGCATTCCTACGACAAATATGGGATTCAGTATAGATAGAATTCACTATGCAAACAATGAACTTAGTGATCATCTTGTTAACCATCACACTAATGTAGTACATTCGGTATATTAACTTTTGGTTTTCTAGAATAGATTATTGCACATCGTGCGCGGATAAAGGTCTAAAAAAAAATTAATTAAATTAAAGGTATAAAAAAACTTATAAACATAAAAAATATCTTAAAATAATTCTCGGACTTTGTCCATTTCATAATGTGTGACGTCATTTGTTTATATTTGAATACGCATCGAGCAGATATGAATGTACGAGAGAGAATTATGGAGAATTGTAGTTGAAAAACAGTAAAATCGACCTTGCTAACCGAAACGCTCCTATGTGGCTCAATCGGTAAAGCACGTCAGGCTATATGACGGCTTCGTATAGGTTACAGGTTCGATTCCTGTCGGAGGTCGCATATTTTCTATGAAAATTTCTCGGACATTCAGGCCGGTAAATGTTTATTATAAACAGAGCATTTACTTAAATATTTGTATCTATAAAAAGAACGTATAAACATAAAAAATGTCTTAAGATAAAGGTCTCTCTTGACTAAAATTATCACAAGTCTGGCACAAGAAATAATAATAAACATACATGAAAATCGAACTCACTACATTAGCTAATAATGTTCTGTTATAGATTGTTATACAATACAATACGCTACGTTAAAAGCATCTCTTTACTAAACAGTCTGACACAAGGCCATGATAATGGCGTACCTGAGGATCGCACTAACTATATTAACTAATGATCTAGAATAGATCACATCACGCTATGTTAAAGGCATTTCTTTACTAAGATTAGATTAGTTTGGTATAAGGCCAAAATAAAAGAGCACCGTGGAGATCGAAGCTACGAGAATATATTGCTAAACATCATGCTATATTAAAAGCCTCTTTTACTAAGCTCAGAGGGGTATAAGGCCATGATTTTGGAGCACTTGCGCGGATCGAAATTAGCTAATGGTCTCCTAGAATACCTTGTTAAACATTCAGTGTTAATTACCACTCAGTGTTAAATGCCTTTTTTTTTTTTTACAATGAGGGTCACCCTTTGCAAGGCCCGGGAGCCACTCGGGTAGAGGGTTATGTTAGGAGGATAGTTGTGTGCCAGTTGTGTGTATAGGTGAGGAAGATAACGATTAACCCTAGCCTTGAATAGGTTAAGATTGTAGTGATCGGGGAAACATCGTGTTGGGAGTTGGTTCCACAGGGCAGTGGTTCGCAGGAAGAAGTTCGAGTCGAACTTACTTCTCATCGATGGAATAGTGATTTTCCAAGCGTAGCTTAGATATGGCACAAGGCTGAAAGTAAGGGGCACCCAGTGAGGATCGAACTCACTGCTCAGTCGTAATTGTTCTAGCGAGACAAGCTTGCTAACCATTACACCGCCTCGAGGTGGCCACTAGCCGATGGAATATAGTGAGAATGTAAGTGGTTTGCTACTATGTAAATGGCATGGTGTGTTCTTGCCGTGAAGATTTGCCTGGGAAGGAGCAGGGAATGTAATTTTCTTAAACTTACTTTAGTTTGACACAAGGCAACAATAATGGATCATGAAATTCTTACATAAGCAATTAACGATAAAATGTGTTTTCTAATAATCTCTCTACGACAGGCGCCCAACTATGTTCTAAATGTAAACATTTTCTTGACAATGTTATAAAAAAGAATATTATAAAAAAAATAATAATGAATAATAAATAAAATAAAATAAAATAAGGAAAAAAATACAAAAAACGAATTCTTAAATTCCGAAGCATTCTTTATTTTTAATCTACCTAAAAAAAACAAAACAAAAAAAAAACAACTCAGAAATTAATGCAAATGTTTTATTTTTATTTTTATTTTCGGAAGGAGAAAATAAAAAAAAGGAATGAAAAGAAAAGATCGCTCTTTGTTGTGCCTTAAATGCGTTAAGTTCTCATCAGTGTGTAAATATTTGTTGATTTTAGCGAATGAATTTAATATGGAAAGTTCCCGGCTAAAATTTAACGCTAAAAAAAAATAAATAAATAAAAATTAACGGGCGTTTGGTAAGAGAAACGTACGATCATTACGGGCAGCCAGCAATTGGCGCGCTTCTTATGTCTCAATTTCCTCTTTTTCCCCTATTTTGAATATTTCTTAAATTAACAGATAGACATCTGTCCAATCCCACGTTCTTATCAGCTTTTTTCGGTTCCTTTTTCTTTTCATTTTTTTATTTTTTTATTTCGCTTTCCGTATTTTTAATGTCAATTAAGGACAGGACACTAACAGCATGGGAGCTGTTTTCTTCGTCCCTTTTCGCTCTCCAGATTAAAGCAAAGATTAAAATATGTTTCAGGGGAGACAGAAAAAGGGAGGGAAGAGAGAGAGAGAGAGAGAGAGAGAGAGAGAGAGAGAAAGAGAAAGAAACCTGAAAGGCGTTTATTCTATAAAAATGGTCTTTTCTTTTAAACATATTTTTACAGTTTCGTATTAATGTGTACAATATTTACTTGTTTTAATTACATGAAATTGATTGATATATTCACGACAAAAAGTTAATAGAAACAGTATTATTATTAATAATGATGTTGTAAGTAGATGGTTATGTATTGGAAGTCATGGAAACGAAAACAGACTTTAGGCTTTATATTCTGTCAGGTTGGTGAGGGTCGTTATTAAGGGACAGACAAATTCTGTCCACTGTAAAGAGAAGTTTAAGGCAAGTTTATAGCAGTACTTACTACTCAACCCATGAGCTCATGGTTGAAATAGCTGATGATTTCCCCATGGTGATGATGTTGTTCGAAGCTAGATACAAGTCAGCATTTCAAAGACATTTATTGCTATCACCAAAGTTAAGCAACGTCGAGCCTGTCCATACCTAGATGGCTGGCCGTTTGGGAATACTAGACGCTGTAAGCATGGTTGTTCGGGTGGTGTGATGGATAATGCCTCAGAATTGTTAATCAGAGAGCCGAGTTCGAATTTCAGTTGGGTTCGTTATATTCACTTGCGCACAAATGCGTCTAGGAAAGGTTTGAATCCACCTTTTCTCCACCAGCTATTGGTTAATTAGTAGGACATTTTTTTAAACAATGATGTTCGTCCTGTCAATGCCCAAGAGCCACTCGAGGTAGACGGTTACAAAGTAGAAGGTTCAACTCCAAGCAAGATAAAAATTCCACCAAAACACAAACGGACACCGGAAGTGAAAGACGGAAAATATTTTACAATCCTAAACAGGAAACAAGAGATACAAATCTACTTCAGTTGAAAAGACTGGGGAGGAATGTGAACCGGACGGTAGAACTTGTATTACTAAACCATTATTATCTCTCTCACAAAATTCTTACAGTTTAAAAAATATTTTCTGGCTTTAAATAACCTGTAAAGGGGTAGGTTCTAGTTCCAACTGCCATGCCTCTTCCGGAAGTAGGTAAACCACTGCTAGTGGCGAACTACTTAGACAGCTTATTAGCCCTCTCTTACAATAGTGTCTAATGTATTTATGAGGATTAGAACATACCCATTAGTATTCATAGGTACAGTATATAACAGTTACTTTTCTATTTTTCTCGTTCCTTCATAATGTTTCTCTTTTTTTATTATTCTTTCACAGTCAGTAATCCCTTGTGTCTTTGTGGCTTCACTGCCTTGCATGGGGTGAAATGATTAAAAAAGTTTAACATATTAAATTCATCAACGAACCTCTTTCATAATTCTTCTTTGAAAAGGGGTGGCATAAATCTTTACTGCCCAAGCTCTGTAGCTATATGATCATTGGAAGAATCTTCTCAATTATAAAGTCCTTCCTAAAGGGTTAGTCTTTGAAGGTAGTCCATAACAAGGCCGTCCTCTAATGCCCAATGTCCTGTCTCAGTTATTTCCCTTTAACTCAACCCTCTTTTGGTTGACCACTGGCCTGGAATTGAACTCCCAACTCTTTGGGTCTAGTCACTGGATTTAACCAGATCACTGTGCCATATGTCCTCAAGGGCACATGGCCTAGTGGATAAAGACGTTTAGAAGACAGAACATTCTCTGGTAATTTCTGTTTGAATTTTTGAGATGAGAAGTTATCGTTATTTACATAAGAATTGTCCTCATCTTTGTTTTTATAATCTCAACATTTCAGGCGTTCGCCTTCATGAAGTGCTTCTCGATCAAGTAGTCTCTGGTACTTCCATTCAACCAAACAAAACCAGAAGACCAGATCCCGTTATCATACTTATTATAAAACCCAGGTTGTGTGTGTCTGTTCGTTTATATATTAGATCGGATTTCCTACATTTTTCAACCGATTTCAACAAAACTTCACTGGACTACGTAAAATTACCTTGCGGTGATTCTGACAGCGCCACAAATTGGAAAAAACACAATTGTTTTTGCACGAAATCAATTTGAAAACACGATTAAGAGGCATCGCTGTTGCGACAACGAAAGGGGAACAACTCATATCGAGTTATACTTATCATAAAACCCAGGTTGTTTGTGTGTGTGTGTGTGTGTTCGTTTATATATGGGATCAGATTTCCTACATTTTTCAACCTATTTCAACAAAACTTCATTTTTTTTGGCAGGTAGTGTTTCTTATTGTCTTGCACACTTTTTTCTTTATTTTTACATTCAGAATGCTTTAAAAATTCCATTTACAAGACAATTGTTTATAATAAAATTTTATTCAATCGGTAGACTCATAACGATTGAAAACAATGTTTTTGTTTGAGTTTGACCAATTCGTAAAAAAAAGAAAAAAACAAAACAAAAAAAAATAATTAAGACATGCATGTCCGTCAACCTTAAACAATAATCTTTGTTAATTTTATTTTTTAGTCTTTATGATGGTCGATACTTGATCTATCTCTTACTGTTACATCCCCGGGCAACGCCGGCCCCTACTGCTAGTCATCAATAAAGAAAAGAAACTTGTCAGATTTTGTAGATCACTCTTCCAGCAAACCACTGATCAACAGTGGAAATAAAAAAAAAGGAAAAAATGTTTAGTGTTAGCCTACCCTTTGAGAATGTGTTCTTGTGGAGATTTTCTGGAGAGGTGAGGCGGAAGAAAATACAGAAAGAAAATGGTATTTTTCTACCACGAAAAAAGATAGAAATTTTTCGAAATTCGAATTATAAAAAGGAGATAAGTGTGGGAAGTGCAAGAGACTTCATTGTTGTGTGAAACTGACCCAAGTAATCTCTTTCCAACCGAAAAAGCTTCTCCGTACAAGCAGCGAACTGTCTATTCTCTCTCGCGTGGTGTTTTTATGCTGAGCTGATTTCGCAAAAAATTTGCATACGCCCAACCACTCTCGCTAATTCTCCTAGCTCCGAGACCGTGTCTTTCTTAAATTAAGGTATCAGGGCGACCATATTTCTTTTACCTTTCCTTCACTCGTTTTGCACGCCAGGCATATATGTGCTCACTTTGCCACACGAAGTAAGTTGTCTTCTCTTCTACAATTGTAACTACCCTGAATCATATCTACCGCTAATTTCTCTCGCGTAACTCCAGGTGTACGCGTATCCCTGTTTGAAAATCCATGATAAGAGACACAATGGAAAACAGCGCATATCCTACCTCGTGAGCTTGAGTAAATGGATGACGGAAAAAGGTTTAGGAGAGATAGCAAAACGATAAAATTTATTAAGAGCTACAAAAGATAGGAAATTGCGGAGAGCCATAATCACCAGCGACCTGACGGTGGGTATATTTTTATTCTTTTACATAGAAGAAGATAGGGACTTTGCTAGAGAATAGATACAATTTAAAGAGATTATGCTGATAATCTTATTTTAAGAGATTATGCTGATAATCCTGCACATCTTTGTTGAAGAGCTTGGAACAATTCCTAACATTGGAATGACTAGAAATCCAAACAAAGAATAAGAACTATCCAGATGAGAGAATTACTAAAAATGGCTTCAATCCTGCGGAGGGTGCTGGGGTACTGAAAAAAACCCGCTATTACCTGATCTCCGGTGTATGTCATCAGTGATTACTAGTGTGAGCATTCAGTATACGAAGATGAAAATTTAAAAAAAACAAACTATTTGATTAGTATCTGGACATAGACGGAAAACCGAATAAATAATAGAATATGAGGGTTACATTTGTGCCAGTCGTTGTTGGCAGTTGTGCCTGTCGCTATTGGAGCACTGGGAACGTTATGTGATAACATTCTCATTATTATATCTTGTTCATTTATCTTGTATCGTGCGGTCAGTATGTAGACAGAAAACAATAAATTGTGGAATATTATGGTAAGAGTTGTGCCAGTCATTGTTGGAGCACTGGAATCTCTCCCGGAGAGCCTGGCAAAAAAGCTGGAGGAACTGAAAATTCGAAAAAGAATTGAAACTATCGGAAATACTGAAAACTGCTAGAATACTGAGCGATATTGTGGAGACTTGCTGTCACTTGATATCGTCTGAAAGCTTTCTTTTACAACTGACGTGTAAATAATAATAATAATAATAATGATAATAATAATAATAATAGTAATGTTAATAATAACAGGATATATTAGTCATCTATCATTTAGCAATAAAAATAATCATAACAGTTTTAAAATAAACGCAACTTTTTCTTCTCCCGTGAAACTTCATTACTCGTCGCCATTTTTGTCATTTCTCATATCATATTTGATAGTGGTTGTTATATATTTTTTTTATTCTCGCCATAAATTACCATGGTTACTATCGTTACAAATGGTTACTATGGTTACACGTATAGCGGTTTGAAATATAAATATTGATCATCTTGAAAATGCTTTTTTATTCCGACGGCTTAGCGAAATTTTTCCGTTGTTTGTAACATTACTGATAATACTTAGTTCTACTTCATTACACCCGTGCAATCTCAGTGCGCGGCTTCTTTTACTGCATAACTTACGAAACTATCGACATTCTCAAGCATTTTTCTTTAACAGTTTTAGCGGCACCTGATCCTAAGCTCTGCTTTTTTCATCAAGGTCAACGATTAGGTGTTCTCTGAATGTCTTAAGCTTTTGTGACCAGATTAAATCTTCAGTGAAGATTTTTTTTTATATTTGGTAAAAAAATAAAATACCAGTTTAGTTAGAACAGCTTACACTGGGAAGAAAATTAAGTAGAAAGAATTTTTTGTGGGTACAAAAATATAGCATGAAAAAGTGGAGTCACGTTGAAAATTGGACCCGATGATAATTTGGGCTCGTTGAAAACTGGTCACCTTGAAAATTGGACACGTTGAAAATTGTAAACGTTGAAATAGGACACGTTGAAAATTGGACGGTTTGAAAATTGGACAGGTTGATAATTTGGACTCATTATAATTGGACATGTTTTAATTGGACACATTGAAAATTGGACACAATATAATTGGACACGTTGAAACTGGACACGTTGAAAATTGGACACGCTGAAAATTGGACACGCTGAAAATTGGATAGGTTGATAATTTGGACTCGTTGTAATTGGACTCATTGTAAT